GATCAAGCTTATAAAACTGGATCCTACATGTACCATAATGCAATTTGACAGCATATTTCAAAGCCTTTCAAACTCAAGCCAGATTTCAAGTAACAATGATGATGACATATCAGGGTTTTTGGGAACTAGGAAGACATTTTCTGTGTAATAGAAAAATCTGATTGACAATCATTTACTTTGATTTGTTTATTTCTGTCTTTTTGTATGCACCTGATACTGTAACTTGTAAATATCTGAAAGCCCTGTTGTGCATCAGATTGTTTTGAATAAGATGAAAACCAAAAAACTGTTTTCAGAGGATGTGTAGTAGGCCTACTGCCCGCGAAGAGTGAACTGAAACCTATAGACTCAGAGCCTATACAGTATGCAAATTGGTGGAGCACTCCTTTAGGCCCCGGCCACACGAGGACGAAAACGGCTATACGCATAGGATTAACGCAAACGCAATCGCAAAAAAGCTTCCGTCCACACGCACCGGATAGTGTCTGTCCACACGAGACAGCTCCGTTTAGCTCCAACCGCTGGAGAAGCTGTAGTACATATGCAGGAGCCTGTACGTGGCGCTGTAACTTCCTCCACAAAAGCAGCGAAGAAGCATGGTTGTCATGGTTGCCCTTCTGTTTATTCTCCGCGGTGGGGGCCGAGGGAACCGGGCAGAGTTTTTCGCCAGTCAACGTGTATTAAAGTTTAAATCTTCCGGACAAAATTATAAAAGTGCCGGTCAAAGGTCTTCTTTGTTATTTATTGAGCTTTAAAACAAATGAATAACGAATCTATATAATATAATAATAAAATACATGGAGCCTCTCTTTTTCCTCCCTCTCTTCGGACAGCGTCAGTGTCTGTTTCATGCAGCAGCTGATCCAGTAATGAGTGACCCGGCCGACAGTAAAAATAAACATATTTATAACTAGTTTAGGTAGTTTGAGAGGTGTCTCCGTCCTGTCAGATTAGACTTCACTCGCGTTTATGTCCATATCGAGAGAAAGATAAATAATCTGAATTCAGTGTGCAGTTTACTTTGACTCAGGGGTGAGCAGCAGAGGTGGGGAGAGGCGGGGCTATTGCCTCATCATTATCAGAAAATGATCGTATAGGGCGTACACACGGAGCCGTTGGACCCCCCAGAGACAGAGGGTATGCCGTATGCCGTTCTATCCACCTTGGGACCCGTTATCGTTTCCGCAGTCGTTTAGTGCCGTATTCGGTCGTCCTCGTGTGGCCGAACGGTCTATATGACACTAAACAGTAACGCAAACGACCGTTTTCGTCCTCGTGTGGCCGGGGCCTTAACTTGTCACTTCAGGTCCCATTAAGAGCAATGAAGACACGATTGTGTAATGGGTTTTGTTAGAGGGTGATTATCTACCTAACAATCCTATCTTTTCTCTCCTTTTCCTACAGCCATTAGAAATGAACTCAGTCGAATTAGCACGACATAATCTTTCAGAGCCCCCCCCCCCCCCCCAGACACGAAACCCCCTTTTTGAACCTTGCCCCTGCAGCTGCTGCTGTGGCCCTGAGAAGGAGGAGAAGAAGGAGGCCCAAACTGTGACATCTTCTCATCCTGTTCGACACCTCACACATGTTTGTGTTACATTTTGTTTGTTGATTTGGACGAAATGGGGCACACTCGCGCACTGATTCCTCAGATTTCCTCACATTTTTCTGTCTGTTTGTTATCCCAGTTCGCCCCCTCTGTCCTCTGCCGGAAAGACAATTGATCAAATTGATATGATTTTGTTTGTTTGATTTTTTTCACAAGTTTGTATTAAACTTTAAAATATATATATTATTACTATCATTTTCATTATTATTACTATCATTTTTATGATTGTCAATGTAATGTTAATATGAATAGTAGTAGAGTAGTGAGTACAATGGTAATAATGAGGAAATGATCATGAGAATTTGATAGTAATGATAATGTTGATAATTTTAATTGCACATCATTTTATGTCAGCCTTTTGTATTTTATATTGTCTGTTTTCATTTTGTTTATTAGTTTTTGTTCAAACCACATCTACAAATTAATTATATTCATCTAACCCGGAATTTAAAAAAGTTTTTTTATCCTTTTCACCAACACAGCTATGTGTGGAACCACGGCAGAAAAAAACAGGCTTTAACCTGAAATGGAGGCTGAAAAAAACTTCTTTGGATATCGCAATCTTATAAACAAAAAAAAAATTAAGAAAACACCAGAGTATTTGTGATCATGTTGTTAATAAAATGTTTATTGGCTGCAAGGATATGGTGAAGTATTGTTCATTTTATTCTCTCTTTTTATGACAAAGTGCAAAAAAAAAGAAACGCACTAAGTTTAAAATGAATTCAAATAAAAACTGTGAACAATGTCTTGGATAAATGAGGTTGTCTCTTTCCTTTTGTAATTGTTTGGTTGCTATTTTTGTGCTGGTCTGGGGATTTAGTCTCACACTTTCCCAACACAGAAACGTGCTTATGAAAAGGTGCCATAAATTACAGCCGGTGCAGAATAGAGCAGTGTGAAAAATCGGAGGTGTTACTGTCCCAACCATATTGTGTTGTTCAAGTGTTGCAACTAGGATATAAATAAAGTAGGATACTGTTATAGTGTCCTGCAAAAGCATTTTATAAATAGTTTTAAAGGATAAACCCAGATAATTAATTAATGTCATGTATGTTTAGGTATTGATGTGGATATTTGTCTATTTACTAATAAATTCATGAAACTATTTGTTACAAAATTGAACTATTTATAAGACCAATTCATAGATTGCACCTTAGGAGTGAAGTGTGTTGGTGTAAACATATCATTTAAATAAAACCGCTTACTCTTTAAGCACGAGACTATCTTCTCATATACTTCATATATATATATATATACTTCATATACTTCAAGCGCTTTGAGCACCAGGAAAAGTGCTTTATAAATGTAATGTATTATTATTATTATACTGTATTGCTTTTATAACCTGGATACAACTCGTTGAGGAATACATCTATGAATACATGCCTTTCCTGAAACTATTTTTAAATAGCAGGCTAGGTAATTATTTCCATAGCATTCCATGGTCATACAATATTTAATAGGGTTGAATAAAACATTATAGGCTACACTGTCAGTAAAAGCTTTAAAGAAACTGCATTAAACCACATAAACCCCAGAAATGACTTTTAGATTTGAGAGAGAAGATACTTTTTGATATCCATTATAGTTTTACTCAAATATGAATATCTTTCAAAGTGTAAGGATGGCATTAAATACTGGACCTTTGCTTTCTATCCAACATGTGTGGCCACAACATGGTAAAAGATGTCAGCAGGTGTTTGTTTCTCATCATAATGTAGATCTAATTGCCATAATCGGATGACCATTGATCTCTATTCTGAATGGTTGAGGTCACAGAACGGATAATACAAATATAAAATCTCAATGAACTCCTATCCTGTTTTCCACTTGTGTTTGACTATCAAAAGAAATCTTAAAAAAGGTTTAGTTGACCGTTAATAACAATAACAACAGTGATCAATAGTAACGCTATGAACATATTGATTTGTGAAATTTGAAAAGATTGTCCCACTCTTGACCTAACAATCAACATCGGCACCTCAGTTGTTTCCCCGACTCAGAGTGCAAGGAATCTGGGTGTGACCCTAGATAACAACCTGTCCTTCACTGCAAACATAGCTGCTACAACCCGTTGCTGCAGATACACGCTTTACAACATCAGGAAGATACGTCCCCAGCTGACACAGAAAGCGACGCAGGTTCTGGTCCAGGCTCTCGTCATCTCACGCCTAGATTACTGCAACTCCCTCCTGGCTGGTCTACCTGCATGTGCCATCCGACCTCTGCAGCTCATCCAGAATGCAGCGGCTTGTCTGGTCTTCAACCTTCCTAAATTTTCCCACACCACTCCGCTCCTCCGCTGCCTTCACTGGCTTCCGGTAACTGCTAGAATCCACTTCAAGACACTGGTACTTGCTTACCATGCTGCGAATGGATCTGGCCCTTCCTACATCCAGGACATGGTTAAACTATGAGGGGCCGTACAGGCCGTAATTCACTGGTCCTCTCACGCACATACATTCTTCTTTTACATACATATATTTTCACTCTTGTATGTAAGAGTGAAAATATATGTATGTAAAAGAAGAATGTATGTGCGTGAGAGGACCAGTATGAATTATGGCCTGTACGGCCCCTCATATTAAACCGTACACCCCAGCGCGTGCACTACGCTCTGCATCAGCCAAACGACTCGCTGCACCCTCGCTGCGAGGGGGACCCAAGTTCCCATCAGCAAAAACACGTGGGTTTGCTGTTCTGGCTCCAAGATGGTGGAATGAGCTCCCCATTGACATCAGGACAGCAGATAGCTTGCACATCTTCCGGCGCAGACTGAAAACTCATCTCTTTCGACTCCACTTCGAGCGATAGAATTATTAACAAAGCACTTATATACTAATAAAGGACTGGCTTATCTAAAGCCAGTTGAGTAGCACTTGAAATGTTTTGGCTCTATGAAACCTGATGTACTTATATGATTCTGTTTTCTTCAAGGTTGTGTCTTCCTGGTCGAATGTACTTATTGTAAGTCGCTTTGGATAAAAGCGTCAGCTAAATGCAATGTAATGTAATGTACATTTGTATAAAGCTTCCTTTCCAATTGAATCACATTCAAGTTGAATGAGCCATTTTTAATATATAATTTGAATGATATTGCCACTTGGAATGAACTTTTTGGGGTATTTTATAAAAACAATTATGAATTGAACAGACGTGTAGTTTATTAGTTATATCTTTATTATTTTTTAAATACCACAAATGATGTCCACTCCATTATATTAAAATATAATTATTAATTATTAATTGACATTTATATGATATGTATTTAAGTATTTTTGTGTCAAATATGAGGAAACCTGTAAACAAAGTTTGGCAGCACTGTCATCAAGTTATCGCTGGGTTTCCCCAAACCTCGCGAGGTTTCGAATTGGAGAGCATAGTGGTAACGAGAAGTGGCGTGGGACGGAGTGGAGAGAGTTGTTATCGAGAGGGAGAACAGAGCGAGGCAGGAGCAGAGCAGAGCAAGGGGGTGTGTGAGTGTTTTTAGGAGGTCAAAAAAAGGAGCACAACACGGCGTGAATGAAAGAGGCAAGCTGGCGGACTACAACATGGCATCCGGAGATACTCTGTACATTGAGACAGACGGCTCGGAGATGCCGGCCGAGATCGTGGAGCTCCACGAGATAGAGGTGGAAACGATACCGGTGGAGACTATCGAGACCACGGTGGTCGGCGGGGAGGACGACGAGGATGATGAAGACGAAGAAGAAGAAGAAGAAGAAGACGAAGAAGAAGACGACGACGACGACGGGCAGCCCATGATCGCGCTCCAGCCGCTAGTTTCGGACGACCACAACTCGATCCACCATCACCACCACCACCATCACCACCATCAGGAGGTGATCCTGGTCCAGACCCGGGAGGAGGTGGTCGGTGGGGATGACTCGGACATGCACACGGACGGCGGGAGCGGGTTCGAGGACCAGATCCTCATCCCGGTACCTGCTCCCGGGGTGGAGGACGAGTACATCGAACAGACTCTGGTGACTGTAGCCGGGAAAAGCTCAGTGGGTCGGATGAAACGGGGAGGCGGCAATGGGGGCAAGAAAACGGGCAAAAAGAGCTATTTAAGCGGATCGGAGTCTGGTGGAAGAAAATGGGAACAGAAGCAGGTGCAAATAAAGACACTAGAGGGGGAGTTCTCTGTTACAATGTGGGCATCGGGTAAGTAAACGTTAGCCGTGTCTGTCACTGTTGTTAGCTTTGCATGAGGCCTCATTGCCAGGGCGTTGTCCTGCTGCACCAGACTAATTCCTGGAGTGGTACGTCGCACCAGCGTAAAAAGTGACAAATAATGCAAGTTTTCGATGCAAAACACTGCTATGTCATATTGAAATGTTTTTGTTTTGAAGGGAGGCCATGTTTTAAGTGTTGCTGGGCGCCGCCATATTCCCCTAGACTAGTAAGTATGGCGGCGGCCCCGAAAAAATGGCGATAGTCGCGGCCAGGCAGAGATGGCGGCGGTGCTAGGGGGAGATAGAGACAGCTGCGTTTTTAGGATCTCTGTAGGCCGCCAAAACTGGGACACGTGCTGCTCTAATGCAGCTGCAGAAGCTCCTGGGGATTATGTAAAAAGGGCAAAAGTTTAATGTGTGTGAAATTGTGAGCCAGGTACTGTTCAGGCAGTACATCGTTTAGCTGTTAGCTCGGGTTGCTGTTGGTGGTAGCTCACCAGACAGCTTAGCATTTGCATGGGGCTAACTACTGCCTCTGTGCAGAGCTATGGTACTGCGTGCAATGCAACCCTGCTCAGGTGTTTGCCCACCAACGGCTCGGACTAATACTATTAATAGTCCAGATATTTACGATGCATTTTATTTTACAGTTAAGTGGAAATACATTTGTACATGTTATCACTGATATTAAGTTTGCCTATTTAGTTTTGAGAGAACACAGCAATGTATAGAGTTATTTAGTGCACTCTGCTGGTTGTTAAAGTAGGATAAAATAATTTACCTACACATTTATTTAACATTATTAAAGATATGTTTTGTTATTATACATGACGGTTGTGTAATAGAACAACACATATCCAAGCCAGAATTCTGATTGACCTTTTGGTTATTTTTCTTTCTTTAAATGTAAAATGTAGTGGCATTTTTATTTGATTGGTAAGAGTATTTATACATTTTTATTTTTACCCTTCAAGTTGGTCATTTAGTTTTGTCACATGGTCAACATGTTTACTTTATAATTACAGCAATTCAGTGAGTAAAAACCTGCAGACTGGTGGTGAGCAGTATGGTAAATGATATATGGAAACATGTCATTTTCCTATATGATTTGTCAAAGTAATTATGTAACATGGTGATATTTTCCTGGTATGAGTTCAGGACCAGCAGATATGTTTTCCATTCTTCAGGCTTGTTGCTAGGGAAACAGCAATGCGTTATCGGTTCAGTCTCTGTAATGTTTTCCTAGATGACACTAAAGACATTGACCATGAGTCGGTGGTGGAGGAGCAGATAGTCGGGGAGAACTCCCCTCCAGACTACTCGGAGTACATGACGGGGAAGAAGCTGCCCCCTGGTGGTATCCCGGGCATCGACCTCTCAGACCCCAAACAGCTGGCAGAGTTCGCCAGGTGAGTGTGGCAGAGCACCTTGTTCCCACACACTTGTTAACTGAGAAAACTCCAATTATGGAAAGTGCAGTTCATATGCACACAAATAATATCACAGTGAAAGGAAGAGCGAGATAGACATGGTTCTAATCTGGAGGGGACATGTCATATCAGGATGTTTCCATCCCCATTCTGGTTATTGATTAACTAAAACAAATTAACATTGTAAGTGGACTAGCAGATAACATGTGGAACAGGCATGGCTTTGTGAAATGTGTCTGTTTGTTTAAAACCCCTAACCATGTCCTTTTTTCCCTTAATCAGGATGAAACCCAGGAAAGTCAAAGAGGACGACGCTCCTCGGACGATAGCTTGCCCTCACAAAGTAAGTCTCACGCCGTCGTCCCCACATAAACCCTGTCACTGTTTGCTAGAATAGAGTTCACAGTTCCTGAAATGTTTAATAGTCTTGCACTGTTGTTTTCTGGGTTATTGAACAATTCTGTAAAGATTATTTAAGAGTGAAGAAAGCACTCGCTGTATTGATTTCCATGTACTTACAAGAACAATCAAGCCTTATCTGAACTCTACATGTTTAGCTAATGCGAAGGTTTATTTCCTGTATGAGCAGTCGGAAGCTGTTAACAATACATTACAGGATCAGGGGAGAATAGATGCTGTCCCACTTCTTTTCAGGATTTTAACCGGCACAAAAAGCTGCGGACATTTGATTTTTAAAAAGAAACTAAAAGAGTTTACACGTGCTATAAAGAACCTTACATAATGTCCTTGTCTGTACTTTTTGCACTCTCTTTTCTCTGCAGGGCTGCACAAAGATGTTCAGGGATAACTCGGCCATGAGGAAGCATCTCCACACCCACGGGCCACGCGTGCACGTCTGCGCAGAGTGCGGCAAGGCCTTCGTCGAGAGCTCCAAACTCAAACGTCACCAACTTGTTCATACGGGGGAGAAACCCTTCCAGGTGAGCGTCTAAATACACAAACCCCTCATAGATACATTCTCAAGTTTAAATAGAGGAGCCCATCACATTTTTAAGTCAAGCTAAGTAGAATGGAATAATAACCAATTGATTGCTCATAAGTCAATTCCCACCATGCACTGCATGCCAGTAATACTTTTCGTCGTCAAATGTCACCCAATCATTGTCATTTTGAGTCTTTTCATGACTTTTAACTTGGAGACTATACTCCAGATTTGAAAGAACCTTCTTTACTTGCTTCTATGAAATATCGAGATTTTTTACACATTCTTTATTTTCATGTGCATCTGCGGTAAAAATGGTAGTCTTAGCTGAATAACATCAGTATTCTTCTCAGTCATTTTTGTAACAATAGTTTCTCAATTTCACGAAGAGGTGATCTTTTAGCGAGCAGAGTTTAAAGGAGCTAAAGCTGTACTGTCAAACTAATGTTAGCTTCATTTTTATGGTTCCATCTGGGTCATAACCTATATGTTATTTGATGGTTACATTCTCAATATTGTCGTAGCACTGAGACGAAAGCTGGCAAAAAGTCAGCATACTTTAATTATCACCAAACAGTTTTGCTTTGACTTTGGTTGTTGCAAGAGAAAAGGCTCTTAGGATGAACACTAACCTATGTGTTTGGCAAACATATCGAGTGTGAGTAACATTGTTTGCTGCAGCTGAAACGTCCTCAAATCCAGCAAAGAAACAGAGCTGCTAACGCTAGCTTTTAGTCTGATAGCATTAAAGACCTCACAGTAGGGAAATACTAAATGACACATGTTCAATTTTGACATAACCTTTAAACCCTAATACAATTGTAAAGTAGTCGTTTTAAGTCATTCTTAGTCATTTAGCTGGTGCTACATGCTCTTAACAAGCTCTAGTTAACATTGGCAGATTACATTAAAGCAGATAGACACTGTTATACATTCCTTATCTTTTTGACTTGGTTTGGGAACGGTTACAAATTCGCCCCGTCGAAACTCTTAAAATGCATTTCCAACACTAAACTCTTAATGCAAATGAAAGGCGCAGAGTAAAATGGCCCCAGACATTGGATTTACTGTAAGATCAGCATGCGACTGACCCCCCTGCTCCTCTCGTTTCTCTTAGTGCACCTTCGAAGGCTGCGGGAAAAGGTTTTCTCTGGACTTCAACCTGCGCACACACGTGCGGATCCACACTGGAGACCGACCATACGTCTGCCCTTTCGACGGCTGCAATAAGAAGTTTGCGCAGTCAACCAACTTAAAGTCTCACATTCTCACACACGCCAAAGCCAAAAATAACCAATGAGAGCCCACTTACCAGCGTTCAGCCTCAAAGACGGAAAAAAAGAGCGTCCTCGCGGAACACCTGAAACCTCTTTGGAGGACGGAATGAAAAGCTTGAGACTTATTGATTTATATGGAACAAAGATCTGAGATGAAGAGACTTAAGAACACTGAAATTCAGCTAGTTTTCCTGCGTCCCCTTTTCTTCTGCTGTCATATTTGGATGAGGAACACAGAGACTATTCCCCAAAGCCCCGGCCAACACAGTCCCTCCGTTGCTCCAGTGGCACTTAGCTGCCAGAAGATGGAACTCGTGGACAAACATCAGAGACTTATTTTTACCAGAGCAAGAAGAGAAGCAGCAGTCTATTCGTATTTTTATTTTCTCACATAGCTTTTATTTTCCCCAAGTGTGCATATTGTACACTTGTCTCAGGCTATGTTAAGTAAAATTGTGATTATTTTTTTCCTCTCTTGCATTATCGTACCTATGATACAAAAAAGGCCCCAGGCCTCTTTTGACCCGTTTCACATGTATGAGAAGTTTAAAAACAGCTGTATGTTTGCATTTCCATACCCTCTTTGGTTGTATTTTTCTCTAACCACAAAATAACCGTGTATACTTGTATTGTATGGCTGTATTGAAATTACGTAGACATAGATAGAGGTGTGATTTAAAGTGTTAACCAATTAAAATTTTAGTCATGAGTTGCATTATATTTTCTATAAACTGTCTTTACACAGATGAATGAGTAGCATAAGCTTTACTCGGAGCGTGTCTCAGTTAAAGGATCTGGAGCGTGCATTGAATGGACTGACCATCACTTTCTTTGTTAGAATGTAATGTACAGATGTCAACCATTAACTTCCTTTGTTCATATATTTACACCCATGTATCTCAACTGCCCACAATAAAATGGCTCATTCCAACCCTGTTGAAAAAGACACACACTCTTAAGTGTTTGTTATGATTGATGTTATTTGTCTTAAAAAAATGTCCATCTATATTGATGCTAACCAAATGTATTTTTCAAAATGAACTTCTTTCCCACATTATCACAATATGAGGGATTTGTTTTTCAGAGGGCACCTAGATGCCTTTCTTTGTCATGTATGATCATAACTCCTACATTTGTTTTTGCGTTAGACTGGTCAAGGAAATAAGAAAATGTTGGACACCCCGTGTGCTTTGGGAAATGAGATTTGGGTAAAGAAGGCCTTCAATATATTAATATCCCGATTGTCAGATTAAACAAAAATTAAGAGGTAGTTAGTACCTCTAATACTATTAGAGCTCATTTTTTCCTAAGCACACTAATGTTTTGAATGCGTGTTCATTCCATCAGGAAACATTTCATGTACACGTACTTAAAAAAATCCAAACCTGCTTTGGAAAGGAACATTTGGTAACCAGCCAAACAAAAACTTTGAAATGCTGTCAGATCCTTTTTCAACACAGATTCGCATCGTTTGTATTCCCCAAGGGAACGCTGAATGTCAAACACTTCATTTCCTGCACTCGGATGAGTTTTTATGCACCAATTTATAGTGGTAATTGGTGCATAAAAACTCATCATGTGACGATTCAAAATTCCATTAGACTCCTGCATTCTGTATTGCTGTCAAATATGTATCCTTTTTCTCATTTAAAGTCATCCCTTCTGAGTCGTTAGTTACACACGTGGCACTGATTCACGTTAATGACACATTCATTGAAATGTCCAAACCCCTGGATTTCAAAAACGTTAAAACACTGCACGTTCAAAACAACCCACATATGTGTTCTCTTAAAAGTAATATTACAGGCTGTCATAATAAAATGTCAAGTTTCAACGGCCTGCTAACTGTTTTTGTACCAAATACATGAAATAGAGACGGACAGGGAATCCAAATGATTGAAGGTAAATTGTCCATAACAGTTTCCTAGATTCCAAGGAAACTTCTTTTAAATGCGATTTATGTCCATTTAATATTCTGAAATCAGTAAATATTTGACATTTTTAAGTACGACTTCACCTTCACAAAATCCAGCTTCATACTCCTGTGGTTAGTAAACACACCACAGGCCTCCCAAAGTGTATTTTCTCGAGAGATAAAAACATAAATAAATCTAACCCTCTTCATTCATATTTGATCAGGATAACAGACTTTCTAAAAGCTGCATCATCTCAATGGAGTCTCCTCTCTACTTGCAGTTTTTGAGTTTACACATAAATCCATTCCCTTTTCTGCTCAGGCAGCAGGATTAGCACAACTGTCGACCTCAGCTGTCCCGCTAAGATCCTTGCTCTTCGGCCTGATCCTGGTCATCCCGCTGCTTACTCCAGACCAGCTCTTGCTGCCCCCTCCTGGCACTGATCTGTAGTGACTGGTACCCCGGTATCGGTGCTCTCCATGGTGCTGAACCCACAACCACCAACCTCTGTGTGTGGGGGGGAGTTTGAAGAGTCTCTCTCGCTTTCTGTCACATAACTTATCCAGGAGGAATCGAGATGCTTTGTTTTTCTGGTGAGGGGGAACGTTGATTTATCTCCAGTGCATTTTTGATGTAGCATTGGCTTTTATAGAGCTGCTTTAAATTCAGAACCACTCTCCCGCTACCTGAGCCTAACGCTGTCTGTGAGAGTATGTAAAGGCTGATTCAGGCATGATTCCACTTGGGGTCCCTTTTTCTTTTTTTCTAAGGGAGCATTTATTCACAGGATTGGTTGTTTGATTGACAAAGGCAGGGGAGAGTAAATGCACTACTTGTTATGCAGCTGAAGTCTGTCAAGCCTCCAACACCTGCTCTCTTTCAGATGCTTATTTCATTATGGCTTCTCTCCCAGGAGTCAAGGCACTTTTATTTTCTCCTATTTTTCATTCTGTACTGCGTGTTTACCTGGATGTTATTCTCTTTCTCTCTTACTCTTTTTCTCTACTCTCGCTTAAACTGAGTATATATTTGCAGCAGTATGAGATCTCACCTACAATCTGGATTTTCTTTCATTAGTTTCTCGGTGTTGCACTGGCAGGGGAGCAAACAAAGAGTTATCACAGTGATAAAAAACAGTGGTGAGATACTGACACTTCTTACAGCTGCACTCCACCTGTGAGTGGAGACTAAACCAAAAAAGCCTTTCAGATCAAGTCATTTTTGTTTATGATTCATTAATTATATAATAATTCTCTGGAAGCCTTAAAGAGGACATATTTGGTTCAATTTCAGGTTCATAATTGTATTTTGTGCCTCTAATGTGACCTGTTTCCATGCTTTAATGTTCAAAAGGGGGGGGGGGGGGTGTATGTGGGAGAGAAACTCACTCTGGAAGGAACACAGGGATTTGAGCCTTTACAGACCATTTACTGCACATACATCTACACATAAGGGAAAAGCTTTATAGGGCCCCTTTAATGACATATCTGCAGGGACCTTCCCCGGGTGTGCTCTGCTTGTTCAGAGCTACATTTTATATTCATATTTGATGAAAATAAATTCTGATGCACACAACCCCCAGTGTAAACATCAAATGGTATATAACGGAGTGAACTCTATTCTGCAAATACATAATTGGACTTTAAAGATATGTCTTGCTTGGCTTCATGTAGGCTTCCTGAGAGCCTGTCAGTTACTATCCTCCGTCCCACAATGTACACATGTTTAAATCTATTGAAGTGCCTTCTCTCTTTTTTTGTGCGCGGCGGGCACGGCATGAGATGCTATTTCCATGCAGAAAATATGTTGCCAAGGTAACAGAGGAGAGAGTGAGAGTATGTGTGAGAGAGGCTGTGATACCCCGTGAATACCAGGGCTGCCGCTGCACACGTACAGCTCCACCCTGTCTGCGGCACATTGTGCACACAACCCTCGTGAATGTCAAGGCAGTTGGGGTTTTTATGTTGTATTTGTGTCACACCAAAGGACAGTATGGCTGTAATGAATCTTTCTGCATCTCACCTGCTCCTCTTATCAGCTCTCTTTCTCTGCCTAAATATAGACTGCCTTTCCTTCTCTCCTCTCCCTTCAGTTTCACTCTCTCCCTCTCTATCTGTGTACATCGTCTCCTCTCTCATCCTCTTTCTGTCTGTCAAACTCAAATGTACTTCATAATTAACTACGCTGCTGCCAAAATAGGTTCTTCAAGGTTCACAATGACAGTTTGATCGTTCATAATGTAAGAAATGCAACCAATTGCTCACACGTCACATGGCCTACAATATACTGTGTGCATCACAATGTAAGCCTTCATGGATTCATTATCTAGGTCAGTGGTTCCCAACCTTTATTCCCAAGAGCCCCCCCAAATGACTCCTGTTGGAAGTTGCGCCCCCCCCCCCACACACACACACACACACACACAAGGGGGGGGGCGCAACAGCGGTAATTAAAGTTTAAAAGTCTCAACATGCTACAACTACTGTCACAAACTGGATGAATGTGAAGTATTTTGTTAAAGGAGGATGAAAGCGTAATTAAGGAGCACTATTGGAGCGACTTTGATGGTTATTGGACTCAGGATTAATTCATTTGGATTCCCGCTGTATGAAGACATGAAAGGACGGCACAAGTGGAAACAATTCACAAAGGGATTAAACTGTTTAAAACACATGCTAAAAGTAAGCCGGATTTTGCCGATGTGTTGATGTGGATTCAAAAGTAAATAATCTACAAAATGGAGGAGACCGATCTGATCGGAGCAACTGTGACAAATAATCTTAAACCGGCATGGACTATGTTCTAAAAATGCGCTTATCCAGAAAAGCCCGGGTTGGACACTTTACGGGCAGAAGAAACATTTCTATTAAAGAAGGAATTATACATTTCTGTCTTTTTATGCCTTTAATAGCTACTAACTTGAATTTTTATTCAAATTAATTAATCAATTATTTTTTATATTTTATTGTAATGTAGAGAAAAGGCTTTTAGTGACAATCATGTCTAAAAAAAGTCTAAATATGATATTTGGCCTCAAATCATCTGAGGCCTGAAGTCTGAGAGCGTGTTCAGTTCTTGCTAGCTGAGTTTTATTTGTGCATCGAGCTTGCTTATTCTGTATTTATTCAGTGTAGCATAACGTGCTGCTCGTGTTTACACTCGTGTTTGTGACAGACTGACTCACTTTGTGGGTTGCCAGGCTTGTCCACCACTGTGTGAGTGTTGTACTCTCCTCTTCTTCTCACTGTAGTCTCTCTCTCTCTCCCCCCATGCCTTGGTCTTTCCCCCATCAGCCCCCACACGTCAATCACAAATCGACCTTTATTTGATTAATGCCTCATTTCAGAATCTCATTACGTCGCCGCTTCCTTCCACGCGGTCACTAAAGGTGGTCTCTCTTCAAAAGAGCGTAGCCGTTGCATCCACATTTAAAATCACTGACAGCCAGGCTGCACGGAGATGTGATCGGCCTGCAGGTTGTACACCGCAGAACTGTGGTCACAGTCAGATCAAAAGACCTTTAAAGCCTTGTTTATGAAGAGCCTCCTGACATTCTCAATTGTAACCGCGCTGCTGTGTCCCTTTAGCTGCAGTGGATGACACAACTGATCAAACAATAGCTATGGGGCTGAAGCTCTGTTCTTTCTGTCTACATTCCCATGTTTGCATGTACGCTTTATTTGGCCAATTAGCGTGCAATTCAAGTGAAATGTGACACCACGGTTTGATATCTCAATTTAACAAGCACACTTAGATGAGATCACTGTGAGCAATAAATCAGATTAGCACACAGAAACACAGGCGCTTCATAATCCGACTGTGAGCGGGCTATGCAGGCGCTGGAGCCATGCATATTTCTGTGTGTGTGTTGTGTGTGTGTGTGTGTGTGTGTGTGTGTGTGTGTGTGTGTGTGTGTGTGTGTGTGTGTGTGTGTGTGTGTGTGTGTGTGTGTGTGTGTGTGTGTGTGTGTGTGTGTGTGTGTGTGTGTGTGTGTGTGTGTGTGTGTGTGTGTGTGTGTGTGTGTGTGTGTGTGTGT